AGGAGCAAACGAGAAGAGAAGGAGAGAGTGGAACACATCCTGGCCCACCAAGCCCCAAGGACAATATTGCTGCTCAGAGTAAACAATGCACAGAGGACCATATTGCCGGTCCCACCACGAGACAGGATGTCCCTCACTGACCCATGGCACTATAAGGGACAACACTGGAGGCACAATACGGGGATTGTGCCCAGTCTGACCCCACCACACCAGGGTGAAACACTAAGGGCATGCAACAGAGCAGTAAGGGGAGCCAAGCAATGACATCCCCAGAGAATACTGAAAATAGACATTGAGGCCAGGATGTGGCACTCCATCAGACTCAACTGGAAAACACTCCTAAGGTCAACAAACATACCTTGAACTATTTATAGGCTTTATTTTTGTTGTTCGGCTCTGTGCTTGTTTTGTCTTGTTTTTATGCTTATTATGGTCTCTACATATCTATCTAGATAAAATAGGCAGGATAAATAATCTGGAGGAGAAAACAAGGGGACCAACAGTTCTGGGGGGGACGTGGGAGAAGGGGAGGCTGGGGAAAGGAAGTGGGTGTTAAAAAACCCAGGGACAAGGAAACAACAAGTGATCTAAAATCAATGGCAAGTGGGGTGTAGGCTGCCTGGTAGGGCTTGATAGAAGGCAATGTAACCAAGAGGAATTACTGAAACCCAAATGAAGGCCAAATATGCGAGTGGGATAAGAGAAAAGTAAAAGGAAATAGAGGAAAGAACTAGGAGGCAAAGGGCATTTATACAGGTCTAAATAAAGGCATGTACACATGTAAATATACTTATATATAATGATAGGGAAATCTATGTACATATATAGTATAGGTTTAGTACTAAGGTAGCAGATGGACATTGGACCTCTACTCACGTACACCCTCAATGCAGGAACACTTTGTTCCAATAACCTGGCATTCTGTGAGGCTCACCTCCCCGATCGCCGAAGACAAAGCGGGTGCATAAGCAAATGTGGTGAAGAAAGATGATGGTGCCCAGCTATCAAAAGATAGAGTGCCTGGGGTCTTAAAGGCTTAAAGATAAACAAGCGGCCATCTAGCTGAGCAGTATAAAAGTTCACATGGAAGAAGCACACCAGCCTGTGTTGACAGGATCAAGTATCAGGCATCAAAGAACAAAAAGTTGTATCATTGTGAAAGAGAGGGAGTGCAGAGTGGAGAACCAAAACCCACCTGTAGACAATTGGACATCCCATTACAGAAGGGTCACAAGGAAGACACAAGCCATTCAGAGTACTGTATAGCACCAATGAAATGTACAATTTTCCTCTTGTGCTTTAATGTTTCCTACCCACCACTATCATGATCCCAATTCTACCTTACAAATCCAGCTAGACCAGAGCATGTACACGGGTACAGATAAGAGTTGGAAACACGGGGAATTCAGGACAGATAAACCCCTCAGGACCAATATTGAGAGTAGTCATACCAGAAGGGTAAGGGGAAGGTGTGGGGAGAGAGGGGGAACCAATCTAAATGATCTACCTATAACCCCCTCCCAGGGGGATGGACAACAGAAAAGTGAGTGAAGGAAGGGAGCGGTCGTGTACAACATGAAAAAATAATTTCTAAATTATCAAGGGCTCATGAGGGAGGGAGGGTCAGGGAGGGAGGGGGGAAATGAGCTGATATCAAGGGTTCAAGTAGAAAGAAAATGCTTTGAAAATTATGATGATAACATATGTACATATGAGCTTGACACAATGGATGGATGTATGGATTGTGATAAGAGCTGTAGGAGCCCCCAATAAGAGTATTTAATTAAAAAAAAAAAAGAAAAGAAAAGGAAAATAAATAAATAAATAAAATGAAACCTTATACCAGTGGTTCTCAACCTGTGGGTGGCGACCCTTTTGGAGGTTGAAAGACCCTTTCACAGGGGTCGCCCGATTCATAACAGTAGCAAAATTACAGTTATGAAGTAGCAACAAAAACAATTTTATGGTTGGGGGGGGTCACCACAACATGAGGAACTGTATTAAAGAGTCGCGGCATTAGGAAGATTGAGAACCACAGCCTTATACCCATTACCAGTCACTCCTCGTTTCCTTCCAATCTCCCCAACAGCCGGCAACTACTATTTTTGTCGTCATAGATTTTCCTATTCTGAAAATTTCGTATGAATGAAATTACGTAATGCATGATCTTTACTTGGTATATTATTTTTAAGGTGCAAGCATGGTTTAGCATAAAGCACAGTTCAGAATAACAGAAAAACTTTACCTGTGTAGTAATTGTTCACATTCATAAGTATACCAAATAAAGTAAGGCATTTTAGATCTTGGATAAGCTCTGTAAAAGTTGTTGCCAGGTGTCTTGGGAGAGATTCCGACTCAATTCCCCATGTACAAGAGAATGAGACAGTGCTCAGTCCTCACAAGGATTGCTGTATTTGAACCACTGTTGCAGCCACGGTATCAGTCACTCAAGCTGACTGAGGGGCTTCTTTTGCGTCTCTACCAAGCCTCACTGAAACCCTTCCCCAGGCACTTGTCCCTCCTGATCGCACGCCCAACGTATGGGCGGTGAAGTCTTGCCATTCCCAGCAGCATTCTGCCTGTACTTCCGGGATAGATTTGTTCGTTCCTGTGGCACTCTGGCATAGTCATTGTTCTTCACCAATACCATAATTCAAATCTACCTGTAATATAATATAATACATGTGTAAATATACACACAGAGACCGCTGGGATTAAACATGCCATCTTGTACCTTGCTGTTTTCACTGACTACTAGCTCACTGACATATTAAATCAACTAGTACAGCTTTGTTTTAAAAAGGGTGCAAAAGCGCCCCATACGGTGTGGACATTTACTTAACCACACCTATATTAACATGCATCTACTTTGCTTCCTTGTATTTTCCACCTAAGATCAATATTGCAATAAGCAATAGCAATATTTCAGTAGACAAACATACTTGTGTACAAGTGGGCATATACATTGGTGCTTTTATTTCTGTGAAATTCTCTTAACAAAGGGTGCATTAATTGTATTTTCCCAAATGTGACCAAACTAATTTCCCCGATAGACTGTATCGGGGAATGCATGAGAGCACTTTTTCCCTCCTCCTAATCGGTTGGCATAGTGGATTAGGCATTGGACTGCTAACTTCAGGGTCAGCTG